CAGCTCCGAAAACAATGTGCATTACTTAAATAAAGCCTCAGCTCACCTAGCTTAATTCCCCTCTGAAAACAAGCCCTTAGAGGCAGTTTGTACCACAAAGAGCACGCATTTGAGATGGTGAAAGCTGGCAAAGGATATATTATCATATCTGCATCTCCAATGGCAAACTGAGGCACAGGCAGATTCAAATGCCCGAGCTCACTCAAAGTCTACTGCACATCCAGGACCTTCCAAGATATAGACTTAATGTGTTAGCCAGACAACACTGCTTCCTTCCAAAGTCACTTTAAGGAGCCCTGCCTTGGCTCTTTTTCAGGTGCAATGGGGGTTAACATATTTTCTTGCATACAACACCCCCCCAAATAAAGCATGGACCTGTTTTTTGAGAGGCAGAATGAAGGGAAAAAAGATCTTAGCCCCCCAGAGGTGCCTACATTGTGACAGTCACTTGATATCTAGAGACCGCTGCTCGGCCTAAATCACTTTGGGGTGAGCTAAGGACAGGCGTGCAGCTTGGTCTCTTTCCTCACATTGGAGGTACTAAATGTAATGTGCATTAGAAAAGCTGCATTCATGCATGTGTAGATGCTCCCAGTGTTAGACTCCACTCCCTGGCAAAGTGCTGCTACGCTAAGGGGACCTGACTTCAATGGGAGTTGCGGGACCAAAAGACTTCGTGTCATCCCGGCTCTAAGAAGCCCCCACCAGTGAGCCCAGGAGAAGGCAGAAATGTATGCCGTGTCCCGCAGTCCATGCATGTCCTCACCTGCTTGTGCAGATTTTGCAGGCACAGCTTAGACACCTCTCTTTGAAGCCCAGACCCTGCCACCAGATTGTGGCAGGGGCCAGATTCTGACACCCATCCACAGGCTGGAGAGCACCACATGCTGCAAGGAGTCCTGTGGGTTGATTCACAGAAGAAGGTGCAAGAAAATGGAAGAGCAAGCCAACCAGACCTGGATGAACTGGAAATGCTTCCACCTAGGAGAGGACTCACCAGTTCAGCCACCCACATGGGTGTAATGCTTGCGTATCCCCATGCTAGAATACAGACTGGCACAGTTTTAAGCAGGGGTGCCAAACTCGCTCTGCCCCAGGCAGGATCTGGCCCGTGGGGCTCCTAGTGAGCTGGATCTGGACAAGACAGAGGCAGCAAGGGAAGCAGTAGCTGCAGGGGTTAATACAGCCATTGCTTGTCCTCTGTGTCCTGACTTTCAGAGGCCAGCCTTGTCCCTACCCTCTGGGACCCAGCAGGCCGGACAACAGGACTCCACAGGCCAGATCCAGCCCATGGGGCATGCACCTGAAGCCCCTGGTTTAGCAGCTCTTGTTCGGTTCATCCTGCCAGAAGCTGTAAGCACTTCATCAGCATTTCAGTTATAGAGCTGGGGTCATTTAGGAGATAGGGTCTACCGGTTAGGAATCCCAAATTCTTGCCCCCTCCATTAATCCTCCTTCCTCTAACATACAATTTAAAAAGAGGAGGAAAAAAACCCCCAAAGCATCTTTTTTTCCTTTGTGTTGCCTTATGACCTATAAGGTAGCAAATTTCAGCCCTGGAACAAAAGCATGCAATTCAGTGTAAGACAGCCAGGCATGTTTGGTTCGGCAGGCGGAGAAGAGGTTTAGCGCACACCAGCCCAGAGACATATCCGTGCTACCAAGCTCCGACGACAGATTTCACCGTGCAAACGAGGACGGACTCACCTGGCGACTGCTGCTCCAGTGGCTCCGACGTGGAGGGTGCTTCTGTTGTGCCGCTTCGCTCCGTGTCAGGCAGTGGGGATGTCTTTTCTCTTCCTTCCCAGACTTTTAAGGCCTTGATCATCTTTCCTATAGATTACTGCAGTCTCCTTTTTTTCTGGTCATGCTGCCTCTCACCTTTCACCCTGCAGGCCATGTAGAACATAGTGCTAAACTGACTGTCCCGTCCCAGCGCACCACTTGCAAACCCCTATCCCACCAGGCCTTATGTAAGGCTAGAAACACCTCCCATTCATTATCATCTCCTTCTCCACTTCAAACTGCCCCAGCCCGTTTGCAGCACGTGACTGCGATCTGCTTTCCAGCTGTGAAACCCCCTTGACTTCAGGGGTCCCTGGCTTCTGATATAAAACAACCATCAGACACATGGCATTAGTTACAGCTATTATTCATACTGTGATAGTGTGTGGAGACCCTCGTTAAGGATCATTGTGGACACTTGTTGCTAACAGGTCTCAGGAGTTCCTGTGCTTGAATTTGTTATATATAGCGTGTGCAGCCTGTTTTGGGCCCTGATGCCCTTGAGACTGACCTCTCCATCTATGTGCAGAATCAGGGCCTTAGCCAGCTGCTCTAAGGCTGTTACTTTGGTTTTATCTTAAGCATTGCGAATGCCTGCAGAGCAACAATACCAACCAACCAAAGCTTGCTTAATAACTATTCTCCAACCATTTGGGTTGGTCTAATAAAAGATATCAAATTCACCCAAAGAGCCTTGTCAACCATAGATTATTACACCCACCGAAAGAGACTTTCCATAGGGTCCGTAACAGGCTACTGTGCACATAATCCAACCCCTATTAAAGTGAGGAGAGACTTCTGCTGACCTTAGGGGGCCAGGATCGGGCCCTGCATGTCTATCTTTTCACATGTTTTTGCAGGAGCAAAAAGCATGGTTCTTCTGGGCTGCATCGTGCACAGAGCTGGGGTGCATTAACATCAGTCAGCTGCACAACGTAACAGAGCACTTCAGAAATGCTGCTCGCCGCGCAGGATGAAGTGAATAAATGATGCTTCCATTAATGCCCCTTTTTTTTCGGCTCGGCAAGCCAGATGGCCAGGTGTTAAAAGCACCTGTGCATCAGAAGGGCATCTACAATCATTTTCGAGCTCCCTGACTTTTATTGTTTTTTGGGGAGGGGTGGGTGTGCTGCAGTCAGTTTTAACGCACGAACCTACAAATGGCTCCAGGACTCTGTGGTGCTGTAAATGAAGCTGGCTGCAGCTACTTACTTCCTGATGATGATAAAAGTTTCTGGCAAGAAGTCTCTGGTTGTAAAAACATTTACTTTCTTATTTCTCTAGATTCACGAGCAAATGCAGCCCTCCTGAAAGCAAGGGCCTAATGCAATGGTGCTAAGGGGACAGGGGCCTACATATTCGAAGCTGGAAGATGTGAGCATAGGGACAAAACATTTTACTGTTCTGTGCGTGTGTGTTTGTGCAGGATTACAGAAATAGGAATGGACAGAGCTGGGAAAAGCCCCTTCCTCCTGGCTCCGAGTCCTCTGCTATAACCCCATTTCCTCTTCTCGCTCCTGATCTGAAGTCAGTGGAAAGATGTTCCTTGACCTCAATCGGCCTCAGATAAGTCTCCTGGGGTACACCCAGCTGCACTCTCCTGGAGTAATAGCCTAGGACTACCCAAGTAAAATTACTGCTCGGTGTGAGTAAGACTGGCCAAACTTAGCTCTCCATCAGCTACCGGAAATCCAGCTGCTCAACGCAGACCCATTTCATGAGAACGGCCTAGACTCTGCTCGAGATGCTCTCAGACTCCATCCCTCCAGGTCAGTCATTGTGGCTTTGCTACGATTGGCTTATTGTAGTTATCAGGAAATGTCACACGCAAAAGACAAGAAGCTTCAGACGAACACGACTCCCCCAAAATGATACTGTGACAGAAGGGCCTGACGAAGGGTTTTTGAACCCGAAAGCTTGCTTAATAACTATTCTCCAACCATTTGGGTTGGTCTAATAAAAGATATCAAATTCACCCAAGGAACCTTGTCTGACTGTGACAGAAATACACTTGACAGAGAAAAAGTAATAACAACAGCTATTTCAGGAACAAAAGGAAAAATACAATAGATCTGATGACTCAGTCTTCTGGTCCCTGATGGAACCGTTAAGTGGATCCCTGTCGTATTTAACTTGATTCCTCTGAATTAAACACTTCCATTAAAAGTTTCCCACAGTTGCTTTAATATTTAATTATGTATTCCACCAAAGCAAAGATCAAAATCTTTGCAAAGGTTTTGTGTTTTTTTTCCTTTTTTGTATGAAATATTTATCAGCATATCTCTTTGGACTAGTTTTTTTTTTTTATCCCTGAGGCTGGGAGAGAGCATTCCTTGTAGAAACCGGTTTCAAAACATTTTATTGTACAGCTCGAGAGTTTTCTCTACTTCAGCACCTCACACCGTGACTTTGTCATATCACTCCTTAATGAATGATAATTAAATCTCTTCTGGCTGAAAAGGTTGGAGGGCTCATGTGAAAACAATGTTTTTAAAGTTATAAAAATGCCCCGGTGTCTCTCCTCCAATACAAATTAAAGTGCAAAAGTTTTCCACGTTTCGTGTCCGTATTTGAATCAGGAGAAACAACTTATGCCGGAAAATGATGTGTTCCAGACAGCGTCTATAGTCTACCTATTTGAAAAGACATAATTATATCACTGTTTACTTACTGCGGTAAACCAAATTGCACCCTTTAATGTGCACTGTGGACAGCAACTTCCTCCATCTTTATCAACAGCTGAAGCAAACAGCGAATAAACTAAATGATATAGCGCTGGCATGAAGAGCAGTCACATATGAGTACCTGAGCAAAGAGCTGTCAATTTTATTTGAACCTAAAACAGGATGTAAGCTTCTGCTTATTCCTTTTTCCTTCTTGTTTTGTGTCCTTGCTTTTATATGACTCGAGTCATTAAAAATGGATAAACAGAACGTGCACGTTGCAAAGGGAGGTGAAGGGGATACAGCAGTGCTCCTCAGAGCAGGATTAGGGAAGAAATATCAGTGCATGTTGCATCTTTGCAACTTTACTGATGTGAGGTTGGTACCATCGGGGCCAGAATTTGTTTCCATGACATAATTACGGCCATGCCGGCTGGCGAGTAAACGTCTCGGATGAACACAACGCAACAATCTCAAAAGGGAAGGTTTGATATTGTCTATTCTTTAAAACTATTTCTCAAACAC